CCCAGTCTCTGAAAGATCCAGCTGCTCCCCTTTGATGCAGCCATCCCTCCTCCCTCTGTCCCTTTTGAATAAGGTGTTATGGCTCAGAGTTGCATCTTACAGGTCTAATTCAACAGCAAGGGTTGGGGTTTCTTTTCAAATAAATGCAAAATTGAGTAGAAATAAGTTGTATGAGCCAGCAAATGCTCTTAGCAGGACCACAAAATGGACGAAGCAAGTAATCTCAAGCAAGTCTTGGGTTTCCATAGTGCCAGCGCTGCCAGCAGGAGACATGGAGAAAGTAAATGGAAACCCTTCCTCCGTTCTGCTATGGAAATTGAATTTCCTTCTCAAAGGTTTTAACAGTAAAGATGCACAGCAAAACCCTTTTCTGGGAAAGTCCTCCTGCACCACACAGATGGACCCAGAAACTCCCTGAGTTATCTCCACGAGGATTTCCAACCCAAGGTCTTCAGGGAAGAAGGTTAGTGTGCAGCAAGGAAGGACATTACAAGACTCTGGATTGATGGTGACAGGAGAAATCAGCTCCCAAGGCTGTGGGGATAACACCAAGGCTATGAGACCCTGGAAGGGGGCTGAAATCAGAGCACAACAATCAAACTGCCTTGAACCCAACAGAAATTCAATTCTGGAAATTGGAAAGGAGAAGATGAGCCCAGTTCACCGAGTAAAGACTACTGGAACTATTCAGACAAAAATATTACACACTGGACTCAAACTTATGATTTTTGTTTTCTTAAAGGAAGTCTATATACAGTTAGAAAAACTTTAGGTCTTTTGCAGTTCTGGACTGAAACTCTGTGGTATTTTGGAGATTGGAGTAGCAGAAAACCAGCCCATCCACTGTTAACTCCAGCTGGGGCACTGGCAGAGTAAATTGTCACCCACTCCCCAAAAGGTGCCATCACAGATTGCTGATTTACCAAATGCCTGCACAAAGGAGCTCTGCAGCATCAAAAGAGAAGGTGTGGGAAGCCTCTGCAAGGAAAATTCATAATACATCCAGGTCTTTTTCTATCACACTTCCAGCTGAGGTACCAACATTATGGAGATTTTCAGCCCAGTGATCGGTTATAGGGCTACACCACAAAGAGGTGGGAGCACAGGAATGTTTGTGGTTTGCATTCTGGATTTTAAGCTGTGTGACGTGTACACGTGAGAGTACCCAGAAGAGTGGGCAGTACTGACCACTGAATTGGAAACACATGGCTGCAGTGGAAACACAGAGTGTGAGTACCTGTTGTGTGACAGTTTCTCTTGACATTCTGCAAGCCCCTTTGGTGCTGCAAAGCTTTGCAAAGAAAAAGGGGGGCAGCAAGTTGCTCATAAACCACAGCTTCACTTCACACCGGAAGGACCGTGTGCTGGAGTCTCAACATTTTATTTTTTCCTCTGTTTGAAGGAAAAAAAAAAAAGCTCATGATTTGCGACTAAATTTTGAAATCTTCATTAAAATTTTCCATTCCTCCTTGTGAAAGAGGAATGGAAAGTTTCAATGCAATCCTTCAAAGGTTTACAACAGGAAGAGTCAGCAGTGCTGCAGCAAACACAGTCCGGTGTCACCTCCTGAGTTACCATCACTGATCACTTGCAGGAATCAAACAGCACATGCAGCATCATTGCTTGGCAATTGGACATCCTTGTGGAGCACTATGAGGAGACACCATGGGCAGCAGAACAATGGACCTGACAGAGCACAGTCATTTTGGGGCCCTTCTGTGTTCACCAGCCATCACAGCGCGACTCCCATGTCCTGAGGGACACCACAAGATGTCTGGTATTACTGACACCAAGAAACTGAAGAGTTTCTTACCCCTTGAAAAAGTCCCTGAGATCGTTCCACGAAATGACTAAGAAGTAAAACATATCCAAAACTCAGCATCTCCTCCAGCTCCCTCTCATTTCCCATGCCCTCTCCGTCAAATGGGTGTAAGCCAGCACAGAGAAGGAATCCTAAATTCATCTCCTGCCAAGCCTGGTTCAAAATCAGATGGATCCCTCTTGCTCTGTCTTGTCCCTGCATGATTTTCTCTCTTTTCTCCTTGTTCCTTTCTTCTTCTGCTAATTATTTGACATTAATTAAACAAAGACCTAGGCTGGCCTTAGTATATAAAGATAAACCTTGGTCACAAGCACCTTAGGTTGGAGTTCTCAGAGCCCTGCAACCTTAGCTATGAGTAAAATGAAATTACTGGTAAGTTTGGGAGAAAAAAGAAATTATCCTTTACTGTCTAATCAACCTGTCTGTTCTCCTGACTTCTCTTATATGATGCTCTGCAGAAGTAACTGGTTGTCCGAGTGTTTTTTTCTTCTTCCTTAGTCATATGATAACTGAGGCACTACAACACAAATTTTTAATAAAACATGTTTTTAATGCTGGTGTTCACTGATTTGGCTTAGGTCCTCAGTTAAACAATCTATTGTAAAATACTGTCTAGAGAACAAACAGCCAAGTTGGGGCTTGCTAAAGACAAGGAGATTTCTTAATTAATCTGATTAACCACCTTCTCCTCCAAGTTTTGGAATTGGTCATCAGTGTTAAGCTTATGTGAACTGACCTAAATTATTTCTACAAGTGTTGATTTTAAAGTAGAGCTTTTTTCTGAAGGCCCTGCTTGTGTCTTGGAGCCTTCCTTAATCAAATAATTGCCACTGCAACTGCTTTAACTTTTCTTATTTGTTCCTGTGTGAAATAGAAACAGCATTGTAGATGTGTGACAGCCCTCTTGCAGCTATATCTCTCCACTGACAGCGAGCTTTTGCCTTGCCTTTAAAGGGTATATTCATTACCAGAGTGTTGCAGGTGGCAGAAAGGAGCAGCTTCCCCCAAAGCCATCTGCTGTGAGTCCCCAACATCACCCTTGCCCAGCACAATGGGAAAGCGTCAGAAGAGGCAGGGAGGGACTGGTGATGTCTTCTGTGTACTGGTGAGCCACAAAGTGCTTCAGCTAATAAGTGTATGAAGAGAAGAAGAAAGCCTCTGAGCTGTGATGCAAAGCATGATTGTGACAGAGGAAATGGTGGCCTTGCATGGAAACCAGCTCAAACCGTGAGCAACAAGGACCAAGGTCTCCTCTATGCACAGGAGGGGAATCTCTGGGTGCCTCTTTGGTACCATGGACTGATTCATAGTAAAATTCATCATTTATCAGAGACAAGAAAGAAGTGAGATATCCCTACTGAGAAAGGAAGTAGCCCTTCCTGGAGGATCCTTTCATTGTACAAATTCTCCCAGCACATCCATCACCACACCTCCGAGGACATGCACTACGTACTGTAGTGAAGAATCCACACTCTACAGCAGAGTGAGAACCTAGTCTTGACAAATTTTTGACCCATACTCATTTACCAACACATTCACTTCCATTTGAACCAAACTAAAAAACGGGGAATGAGGAATTTTCCTATTTTGGTCTCCAGAAGGTTGTGCTTTTGAAAATGCTTTTGAAATACAATTTTCTGCCACTGAGTTGTAATAGTGATGGAGAGGGGAGGACTCAAACAACAATCCCAATGGATGGCAGGAACCAGCTCACTTCAGCACCCAAGAAAGCATGAGACTCAACTCTAGTCAACTACAAGGCAGGCCCCTAGTTCAGTTCCTTGTTGACATTCCTCCATCAGCCTGTGAGGATGGGCACTTCCCAAGAACAGCTTATCCCATTATAAAGAGAGGATGAACTGTAGCTAGAATCAGGTAAATAAACTGCCCACTGAACCAGAATGAGCCTGTGCAAGTAGCATCACTTGATGTCTCATCTGGAGGTGGCTGGAGCACTAAAAGTTGTCATTTGGCTCAAGTCTGATGTTCATATTTGCTTGACAGGATTTTGAGATCCAGATCCTTGTAATGTTATTTAATGTATGAAACCTGTTCACCCTTTATTTTGTCAAAATCTACTATTTCAAGTAGACACCACAACTACCACAGCCTCATGAAGGTATGAATTTCACACATCTCAGCAGGCTAACAGCAGCTTTCTTCACTCAGCAGGCTTTGAAGCCCAGTGAAATAAACCCAGTTCCTAAACCATTGTCCATAGCTCAGCTCTGAGTAGCAGTCCCAACAGCAACATCATCAAAGTTAGCAGCACCTGTTGTCTGACAGACACAGGATTAAAAGGCTTTCTTTGCAAAGGGGTAATTTAAAAACCAAACCTCACACAAAAAAAAAAAAAACCCAAGCAACAGGATAGCCTGGAAGAAAGAAATAAATCCAACACCAGCCCAGCCGCTCGCAGTCTGGTGAAACTATTCTTACTGTATGTGCAGAGCTCCAGGAAGCATCACCCATCCCCATGTGCCAGTGGTCACCCAGAGGCAGCAGGAAGGGCCCTCTCTGTTGATGCATACAAGAGTTTTCTTGGCAGGGCGGAAGACCCTGTGGTTAGAGAAGAGAACCACAAGTTGTTAAAACAAAGAAAAAGCAAAGCATACCCCAGGGCGCTCTTGGTATGTTCAGCTGACAGACCACCTGCCTTGCTCAAAGTGGCTTTTGCTGAGCAATTGCAGAGATGAATTGACCAAAGAATTGCAAAGAGAACAATTAAACACCTGAAGAAACCATCTGTGTGCCAGCAACACGTGTGCTTGGAGATAAATGATATGCGTATATATGCCATGAAACACCTGTGTCTCACTTGCTGGGTATGAGAATACTCTGGGCTCTGCCATCCACATGAGACCCTCTGAGTGTGCTTAAGGGAAGGATGCAGAATCCCTCACAAGAAACACAACCTGAGGCCTTCAGCCAAAGGATGGGACTTGTCTGTGACTTCTGTGGAGCTGGAGCTGCTGTGGAGCCCCAGAGGGCTGGAGGACAGCAGGCTGGAGCGCCCGATCCTACCTCAGGCATGAGCAGCAGCACTCTGGATCTCTAGGGAATTCATGGAGGCAAAAGCCTTGAGTAAGAACAGAGAAGGATAAAAGAGCCCAAATTTCAACCTAGAATTTAATTTCTTCAGAAATCTTTTTTTGCGCTGCATTTTGCCGCAGATGCCGAGCACCGTCTCTTTGCCCAAGAGGGTCTTGATGACATCACATCCTCCCCAAAGTGAGATGCAGCCTCCAAAGTCAAGAAAGAACGATCATCTCAGCTGCACTGCACCGTCTCCAAGGACAGACACCCCCAGCAGAAGATGGACGGGTCTCCTGCCCTGCTCCTCCTGCTCGCTCTGGGATTCTGTGAGTACGGACACAGGGTGGTGCAGCCCCTTTATCAGGAAGGGCATGGGCCCTTCTTCCACCAAATCCAAGAAATTGGGCTAAACAGTTAAAAGGCAGGTGGGGGGTGGGAGTAAACCAAAAAAGCTGACTTTGAGATGTGGTCAGTAATTGTGGAGGGAAAGGTGGCATCACCTCAGCCAGCGCAGGGCAGCTGGAGGGGTGGCTGCAGCAGCACGAGCACTGGGAAAGGAGCCTGGTCGGATGAGTGGTTCTGGAGGGGAAGGAGAAAGGGGGAAAAAGGGGGCTTAGCAATCAGTGCTTTTAGAGATTCATTTCAGATAATCTGGGAAGGAGTAACGTCCCTGAGAAGGCAGCTGGAAGGGCAACACCCATCTTTCAAGCCTACATGGCTGATTGCTGAGCACCCTCCATGCACAATCCCAGCAAGGATTCCAACAAAACCTTCCAGTCATCCAGACACCATGGTTCTCCCTTTGCATTTGTACTTCCATCCCATGGACAGAGCATGAGATTTTTCCCAGAGGGACCATTGGCTCTTCCCAAGCAGTTCCAGCAAGGATTTCTCTCCTCCAGGCTATCCCGGAATCCATGGCCAGATGTATGAGATGAAGATCAGGTTTCGCAACAGCATCACCCAGCTCCGGGTGGGACAGCGGCTGGAACTGGAGTGTCAGACTGACAAGAAGGACAGTGGCATGTTCTGGGTCCGCCAGGACAAGAGTGGGACCCTTCACTTCATTGTCTTCATCTCTTCCATATCCAAGATCACCTTCAAGGGGAATCAGAGAACGTCCACACGCTTCGAGGCCAGCAAAGACAACACTATCCATCGGTTGGTAGTGAAGTCTTTCACACAGCAGGATGAGGGGAATTATTTCTGCCTCACGAACATCAACCAAATGCTGTACTTCAGCCCTGGCCTGCCTGCCTTCTTCCCAGGTGAGCAACATCTCCACCCAACCTTGCTTAGCTCTGCCAAAAAGCCCTCCTGCCTGTGCCTTTTTTAAGCAGTCTTCTCTCCCACAAACCCCAAAACATCTTGTGACCAACCCACTGCTCCTGCTGAAGGTTCCCTGCTTGCCATCTCTTCTCATGGTATTGCTCCTGCCCAAAGGCAAAGATGATTGGGCAGACCCAGCATCACTTCCCCATCCCCACTTCTCCATCCTACACATGGCTCTGAAGGGATAACATCAAAGCAAAGTCCAGCACTACCCCTCCTTCCTCACCTCACATGGGTCCCAAAACTCAGGGTGCTTATGAGGATGGTGGCAGACAGCAAGAAATAAGGAGGCTACAGCTCCTTACTGGCTCCTGGGAGACCCTCCTTGGAGGAGTCCCAATCTAAAATTGGATCTGTGAAGTCCCCATGGAGCTGAATACAGAAGCATCCATACCCTGGCAGGGGTAGGAGAGCAGAAGGGCAGGAGAGAGAGCTTTTTTTATTGTATTTGCCTACATGCTGAATTCATCTGTTTTCACTCATAGTCACCACCACAGTGGCACCCACCACAACAAGACCCACCACCCAGCATGACATCACCGAAAAGGATCCGTTCCTGGAGACATCAGATCCAGGTAATCTGGATGGAGGAAGGGAGGGAGAAGGGAAGAGCTGGGCTCTGGTCCACTGATACTGAGGGGGATGGTGCAGGCATTTTGGGATAGGAAGAGACTAAAAATCCATGGAGCTTTATCAGAGTTGGAAGGATTAAACTCTAACGTTTCATCCCAGCTAGGAAAGGCTTAGGATAAGGTTAAGAGTATGAGCATGCCTGGGCATGCTGGGCTGAGGGGGAGGAAGGGAAGAGCCTTGGGGGCTAGGGCTGGTTTTACTCTCATCAGGAGACACAAGAAAACGTGTGGCTATGTGTCCTCCTTCAAGTGCCCAGGAAAATGCTGAGAGCAGCAGCACTGATGAAGAACATCCCTGCAGGCCCAGGGGAAGCCCTCTGCCTCACCACCAGCCTCGTGGAACACCAGGCAGGGCCCTTGGCATCTCCCTTGGCTCCAGCAGAACTGGCCTTAACACCAGCTGTGAGCACCTCATGAACCTTTCCTCTTCTCCATTCCTGCAGAGACCAGCACAGAGAATGAGCTGAATTTCTTCTGTGATCTTCTCATCTGGGTTCCCTTGGCAGGTGTCTGCCTCCTGCTCCTCATCGCCCTGGCCATCACCATCACACTCTGTCAACGTAAGACTCACCACCACCCCCTGTAGATGCTGCTGAGGGATTTTCAGCAATGAGCCAAAGTCCCTGGGGACAGCCAACAGACATAATTCACCCTCAGGGTTCCCAGGCTGACCCTGCTACTGCTACTCACCTCACACTTTAATTCATCAAAATGTTTAAGTGGAATATTGAGGTAACATGAGCTGCAGCACCACTGCCTGGCATGGATTTCCTACAAAATAAGCCTGGTTTATCCATCGTTAGTCTCAAAGATATCAGCTGCTGGGGAACATCAGCCCTACCTCACTGCAGTGTTTATTTAATGAGCTGTGGCTTGGTAGCTTTGAACTAAAACATTTTCTTATTTTCTTTCTTATTTTAGGAACCAGAAGACGAAGATGCAGGTGTAAAAGGTTAGTAAGTGACAGGCATTGGTGTTTTTCTCTTAAACTTGGCAACATCTCAGTTTCAGGTGATAGAGCAGACAGGGGCCCAAAAGCAACCTAAAAATTCTTCACCTGATGGGAGGGGTCTGTGTAATGACTAAAAGGCAAAACGAAGACAGAAGTTCTCTTTTCCCATGGTTTTGTTTGGGGTTTTTGTTTGCTTTTTTTATTTTTATGTAATTCAAATCACGGAGCCCTGACACTGCAGTAGACACAAGCCAGAAAGACAGGAGGGGCTTGTGGTAGCCCAAAAACTTTGCACATCACATAATGCTCATAATTAACCACATTTCTGTGCTCCCAATGCACCACTCCAAACTTGAGCCTGGGGGTGACTGTATTTCGTTCCTTACCCTCCCCAAACCATTCATCTGATTTCATCACTGGACATTCAGGTGTGACAATGGATTAGATGCAAGTTATTGCATCCCAAATCCCCCTCTGAACCATTTTGGACCAACATCACCACGGCTTCAGGCCTCCATTTCCCCTAAAGGCACTAAGGAACAGCAGCAGAGAGGCTGCTGCAAACTTGGATGACTTTCCTGAGAAACAGCACTGCAGACAGGAACAGATTTAAAAGTAACCCAGTTTCTATGCACTCAGGAACATTTTTTTTACGCTTTCCCTCCTGCCACCTCAACCCACCCATCCTGAGTCACAAGGAAAACTCCATCGCAAGGAGAATTGCAATTTGCCAGTTTGGAAAAAGAATTGCTTTTGCCCACATGCATTATCCTTCTGCAAAAAGACCTCCCTGCAGCCAGTTTCTTCACCTTCCCTGCTCTGCAGGAAACCACTTCTGCAGTTTTGCAAGCCTTGGGCACCCTGGGGCTTGTGGCAAGGGACCCACCAAG